CTATTAGACATTTATTTATGCGAATCCTCGCGCTGGCGAGCATACTGCCCCGCGCTGAGAACATAAAGAGCAGTGCTACACCCTTTTTTCACTTGTACCTTTCAGGTGAACGACAGCCACTGGCCGACAAGAACAAGACCGACCCGGGAAACTTGGGCAAAAGCCTCGATCTTGTGTATCAATCCGTGAATCCGTGAATTCGTAATTACATGACCTTCAACGCGATCTCCAGGGCGGGACATTTGAAGGCTGCCTTACGATGAAGCGGTCGGAAACTCGTGGGACGACGATCTGTATTATCAATCCGTGAATCCGTGAATTCGTGACTACATGACCTTCAACGCGATCTCCAGGGCGGGACATTTGAAGGCTGCCTTACGATGAAGCGGTCGGAAACTCGTGGGACGGACGATCTGTATTTGGTGAGTTTTACCCGGCATATTCACGCATTATTGTCTCAAATTAACAAACGCGGCCCGCGCTTTTCAAATTCGTACACCGCCCTCATCTGCCACGCTACAAACAGAACTAATACAACCTCCAAGACACGTAAAACGCTGCACGTCTTCCAATGTCTCCTTGGATCGTAAGTGGCGTGTTCAGTGACTGCATGTCCAGGAGCGTGGCCTTGCACTTTGTGGGTGCAGAGTTCATACCAAAAGATGGGATAACTTTGGTCAGTTCATCCAAAAACACTTGCACCTTCTCTTCGGAGGTGCATCGGAGGTGGGGACGATGTGCTCTGCATGTTCCGGATCGACAGGATTTTCGTCACAGGCTATTTGAACACCGGAGTTTTGAAGACCTTCCAGCGTTCGCCTCATGATTTCATCGACCACGAAGTTAAGTAGGATTGGGGAACGAACTTGTGCATTCCGACAGGGCACTCCTCCATAGTCGCTTCTCCTTACGTTTTCCAGGACCGTGTAAGATGCGGACAAATAACGTAGCAAATGAGAGAATAACAGATCCGGATGTTAGACGAGCTTACCAGAATCGTCTTCTAGAGTCTCATCTGAGTGCTCGATCATGAGACGTAAATTTATACTGGAAAGCGACCGCCACCTCTTTGCACAGTGCCGAGGGTTTCGCCTGTGGCACTGCGCTAACATGACCAATTGAGCACTGAATATCAGACCGAATAACGGCATTGCTCAAATCTTGGTGAAATATCCCAGCTGGTCCTGAACGAAAATTGAAAGTGAGCTTGCATTCCGACTGTGAATTCTGGTGGACACAAAAAGCCAAGGAAATGTAAGAGGTCCAGAAAGCCGCTAACCCCCGGAGATAATTTCAGTTGGCCAGCGCGATCGGCCCCCAGAAACCACCTGTGAGCCAGGCCATCAAGGATCGAAATGAAATGGCCATCTGGAGTAAAGAAGAACCCTTCGACCATTGGGCCAAATGCTTCGAACAACGTCATCACTTGATACCACTTATCTGGAGCCCACTGTTGATATAGAACCCTTGATGATGAATGTGGAGCCCCCTACGGCCTCGGAGGTTTATGACTGTATATCTTCTCAAGTGATACTTCTGGTCCGGATGACCTCCCACCCGCCTTGTTCAACGGCGGGGGTGAAATTCTCCATCAGCGCTAGTATGATCTGTTTGCCTGCATTTTGGAAAACGATACTGTCTCAGAGGACTGGGGGAGTCGGTGATAGTGCCCATTTTGAAAAACGGAGCTCGTACTTAGTGCGGTAACCTCAAGGAGATCAGGTGGACTCCGATTGTAACGAGACTGCTGGTGTTACTTGCACCTCGTCGCCTTATAATGGATCATGAAATACTGACTCGAGAAAAGCAAACAGTATTCCGGGTGCAGACTACATCATTATCATCTTCGAAGAGGAGAAGGCGCGGGTGTTTTTGGATGAACTGATCAAAGTCATCCTGTCTTTTGGCACCCATAAAGTGTAAGGTCATGCTCGTGGACGTGCAGTCACTCAACGCGCCACTTAAAATCCAGGGAGAGACACGAAGCTGTGGGGTAAACATAAAATAAATAATAGTAATCGTTCAGCTGTATCACCCTTTCGGTGCCTAGCTGCCATGCTACCCGAAGGTTGCACGAGGGCTGGGATACTACCAGGTTGCCCAGGCCTAGACAGGTGAAGCCGAGGGGTAGAGGTCGGGTTCGAACCACGGACCTTCCGGTCAGTAAATTCGCGCTCTAACCACTTGGACCATCTCGCCCCCAAGTTGTAGAGTGCTTTGAGGTCGTACTACTTCTGACTGTAGTGCGACAAATGAGGTCAGTGAGCATACCTGCAAGTTCCGGGTCGCGTTTGCTAGTTTGAGACACCTATGGCAGCAATGCGCTATATCTCTAGATCTCAAGGGACGTATGTATCAGGCTACAGTGCGGGCTGTTTTGTTGTATGGCTGTGGGACTTGGCCGGTTCGAGCAATGAAACCGAGACGTCTTCAGGTGTTCGACAATCGCCGTCTCAGGACCACAACTCCTGTGGGTTTGTGTCGGAGAACCCTGAACAAGGCAATTAGAGAGCGAGTTTTCGGTTGTGTAATGGGTACTTCCATTGAAGAATGTGTCCAGCACTAGGAGCTGCGTTGCTTGGGTTATGTTACGTATGCCGATGAGCGTGCTGTTTTCCATGCTTAACTCAGTAGCGGAAGAAGAGAGATTCCAGTACTTGATCTAACAAAAGAGTACGCAACGTTTGGGTGCTGTTGGTGCCACTCGCCTTGGGGCATGGGGACTGCATGACCCCCACTGCGCCTGACTGGAGACTCTGCAAAGTATGGCTGCTACTCGGTGTCAGTGGCGTTCTCGGAATCATTTTGCTTCAATGAGCGTCTGGAGGTATAGGTACCTCGGAATGACTCTACTAGGCTAGATATAACTCCCTTGCTCGTCCACCTTAATTCTCTTCTCTATAGGGTATTCAGATAAATCATGGCTATACGGCAGCGAAGCATCAGTGTTGAAGCTGTTTTCTGACCAGTTGGCCCCAATGTGTTAATGGATCACCACGCCAATTTATGTTACGAGGATTTGGACGCGGATAAAATCGATCGGAGAGTTCTCCCAGTCATGTTTACGGAAGTCCGAATATCTGGTATCGAGCAATCAATCAATTGTAATTGCCTATAAGTGTCTGGTGTGACCCTCCGTATTTCAGAAGCGTGTAAGGATGAAAACCAATCTGTTCTTCTTCCCCGTCCTTTCCTATTTATTGAATTTTCCACTCATGACCAGAGCAGCTACAACCGACAGAGGAAGAAGTTTGTTGCCTTTTGTGTTCAGAACCGAGTTGCAGGACCACTGTCTGGTTATAAGCCACAATCAGCAGTTGGTCACATGTCGTCGATTTTATTTGACCTCAGCGTTCACCATCCTGTTCAGCCATCAGAACTTATGTTCTCGAGCTCTCTCAGGCTGCTGCAGTCGACCGATTCAATCTTTTAATCTCTTCATCGAAAACTGTAAAACTTGGGTTTCCTTGAACTTAACATGTTTGCCGTTTTTCTTCAATAACAGATCGGTGTGTAACCATATGACTCACCCCATTTTCGCAGTGACCACAATTTTATCGCGTCATTGGTGGTTTGGCACTGACGAGCCAAGACGTAATATATACATTTACTAGATTCCGTCTTCTGTATGTAGGCAGTCACTTCCTCAAAAGACGAACACTGGAAACTATCGCGCTGTCCTGATAGCCATGGCACAGTGGGTGCGCTGTTGTATTGTCATTCGAAGGGTGAATACGCACAGATGTGAAAATAAAGCTCACTTTCGCTCTCCAACGGATTCTGGAGCTGCGACACTGCTCCCAACAACCAAAAGTGGTAGTTTTGATTTGAAATATGCCTATAGTAGTGTCTATGTAGAAATGGCGTTCTATGAATTTCTAGCCCTCCCTAAAGTACTATGCGTCAACTTCTGTGGGCACCGCCCAAGTCATCATCACCACTGACAGTAACACCAGATGAGAATACTGGTGCTTCACGGCCGTACAACCACATCAATTTATTTGAATAAAGATTTATTTTGGAAAGACGGAAGAAATGAGACAGGGTGAGGGACCCAGGGTCATTCTACGACAGTCATCCGATGTGCCTATTCCACCAGAAGTCACTTTGATAATCGGGGTGGAAACTGAAAGCATCAATGACATCGATATCGGTTAGCCACCATGTCTTCAGCCAAACACGAGGGTCACTGTAAGCATCCTTTTTGAACGTGAGCACCACTATCAACTCACCCCAGTTGGTTGTCAATTTCACCCAAATAGAGGCAATTAAGATAAACAAACACCGACTGCGTGTTTCACTTCCAGTTTCGAACAGAGTGGGTGGTAGTTGGCCAAGACCAGTACCTCGGTATGGCTTGGGGGAGTCTGGGCTTCTAACCTCACTATCTAGGGCTGTGCTGGCGGTTGGGAATACGACCGAGCAACTGCAGGTGGCCAGTTTTATTGTTCTCGAAAGTGTTCAGCCCAAAGATCCGGACGCTCTTTTTTTAGAAATAAGCGAGCCGTCGTTGTGCTCATCGGAAGTTTCTTCGGACCATTGCGCCGTATCAGCTGGAACAACTTACACGTATTCCCAGGGCTTCTCGCCTTCTCTATCTCTTCAGCCTTCTTGACCTGATGAAGGTGGTGAAGACGATGATGTGCTGAATTGGTCAACCCTAGTGACAATTTCCGGAGTTTCACGGAAAAAACGGGTTTAGGTGATCCATTGCGTGGTCTTCGGTGTTTAGGAGTACAAGCTTTTTGGGAGCTTGTGTATGTGTGCACTGTAAAATCACTCACGCTCTTGGACACCAATACCCAAACGATATAAGAATCCCATTCTTCAGCTTCTGATGCACCCATCTCGCGACTTTCCATTTTCTGTTCGTCTACGCCTGAAAACATTGCAACATAAAGTTGGCGAAATATTGCATATTTTATGATAGCCTCCGTCGTCATATACACGCCATAGTTGGTACGCTCCAAAACATGTCCGCGATATCACTGTCCATACCATTGTGATGATTTACCAGATACGTAGTATGCCTAAAGGAGGTCATGCGGTGGGAGCTCACATTATTTTGCACAAAGTTCTTTGCCTAATTACCTTACTTTGGACCGTTCATCACGAAGAATAAGTGCCTACTTTCATCGAGTAATCGGTCCAGTCCTCAGCAGATTTTGGTTACCCTCACGGAGGTGCAATGCTTTCCAACCCTTTGCGGAACGATGCTACCATGCAATTACATACAACCAGAATTACTCACCTTGTCAATTTAGTCAAGTTTGGAGACACTTTTTTGTATGAGCTGGACTTTAGAGCTGCAGGAAAGCCCCGTCAGGGCTTCCTTAGGATGTAACGGTGTAACCCCGAAAAGTCTTGTAACTAAAATTCTTCATATCGTGAACATAATTGGTCGTTTTTCTGTTGTCTTCACGGAAGATTGTGTGTGATTCACGAGGATTCTTTTTGTTGATATCCATCCTGTCTTTTAGAGTACCCCGTACCTGAAGTTCACACTCAAAATTGCAACTGGAAACCTTATGCCAGACATGCACGGCTAGATTCATTCGTTTATCTGTACTGCCTTTGATTTCGCGAAATACTTTTTTCTCGTCGAATTGTACACTTGGAAATCACGTCTTCGTTCTCAGGATGTCTTTTTCTACTCAGGCATTTTTCTTATGCGTTGCGGTGTCGTTGCTGTGTTTTTCGATTACCGAGCATCTTGCGAGTGTCTATATTCTAGAACAGTACGCCAGCGCTGTTCTTCTGATATAGTTGTAGTTCAGGTCGGTCGTCTGAAGCCATGTCTTTTCGCTTCTAAGTACAGTTACTATATTTTCAAGTGAGTATATGTTAACCTGACTTTGTACCTTAGCTCCTTGCCATCGTCCGGCTTATCGGCTAGCTTCCACTGAGTAGAGCGGATCGTGCTCTTTGGATATCCATTGAGACGCTGAAGTTAAGACAGCGGTGCGTTCTGAAAAATAAACAGAGACCCGGATGCACGTGGAGTTGCAATGGCTTCACGCAATGTTGAAGTGGTGGTGTTGTTCCATCGCCGTCTCATTGTTCGGGTTTACATCGGCTCTGGTCGTAACTGATCAAACATGTGGATACATAAGGTCACTCATCCATGTGCCAATTACTTGAGCAGTTGTGTTTGTGTTTTCTTTGCAGAGTTGACGAACTGAGTCCCGATAGGCTACTGCGTTGGTTTTCCTGTTCTGATCCTACCCTAGCTTCTCCCAGACTTCTGTTGATGGTAGTCTAGCTGTTTTCCTGGCCGATGGATACTCACTGAAAATAAGTATAGAGATGCATCTTGTAGCTCTCAGTCGGTCATAATGGCATTTTTACAATAGCGGAGCGTCAATGTTGAAAACGTGTTTTGCTTTCGATAATAATAATAGCATTTTTATTTGATGGACAACGGTTGTCCGAGTGCCATAGTCTGTGTCTATAGGTTAACCAGTGGTCTATCGTCAGGATAAGGACAAACATAATGTAATACGTGAGCTGCTACTACGAACGTGCAAAACACATCTAAGTGCGATTGAAAAAGATAGAAATTCGGAACCTGACAGTGGAGTACACCGATAAACTACGTAAGCTCATGTACAGTTCCTCGTCGTGTCAGCCAGAATGACGGTGAAAGGAATGAGAGTTCGGCTGCAATGGTGTCTGGGCGTTGGGTTCAGAGAAGAGGAGGATAACATTTAGAACTGTGTGGCTCAGAACAGCCTTTTGCTTCCACAGTGGAATTAGTTTACGTGACAAGCCGAAATATTGTTCACAACTGCATTGCACACATCTAGCCGGTTTTCGCAGAGCCTTACTACTTCATCATTGCTCCCCCAGGACGAACTACCGTATGACTGGGTGCGTCTTGTTACACTTAACCGTTAGCAGTGTATCTAAGTATTGGTAGCATGGGTGCGTTTATAGCTTTTGATCAGATGGCAGTTGGTCTGTCCCTTCAGTTTGGCGATTGGTTAGAAAACATCTCGTCACCGTAACAGGTGACGTGGTCAGTGTGCACTGACGATGTATCTCATTGAAACGAGACCTTTGTAAGGCAGCTGTGGAGCTAGGTGCACAGATCAACCAACCATTAATCAACGGACAACCTGTTTACCGTGTCAGTAGGCATTACTCGAATGTCACTTTCTCGCAGTTCATACACGATAGTTGGGAGTAACTGCTTGTTGTCCTGTCAATATTGAAGAGAGCCAGTGAGCACTATTGAAACGAGTTTCTGAGCAATTTGAGCAATAGTACAACTTTGTTCTATCGATAATAGGGGTATCTATCCATTATATCTGTCTGTGTTTACTTTTTCAGGTTGAGAACATTGTCGATCGGCGGGTTAAGCGTGGTCGGGTGGAGTATCGTGTTCGTTGGAAGGGCTTTCCACCTGAACAGGATTCTTGGGAGCCTTTCACCAGCTTACGAGAACCTTGTTTTGCTCTCATACAAGATTTTCACAACAGAAGGTCACTTCATGAGAAAAGACGATATACACTCCCCATTGTGAATTCACCCACAAAACCTGCTGATCGTGCTTCCCCCGAGACATACAGTACATCGTCATTTGAGAAGGAACCAAAAATTAAGCCTGATACATCTCTCCTCGAAAAACCCAGTACATCCACTAGGGGACACACGCATTCCCGGGGATCTAAGAACCATTCCGAGGTGCACCAGGGTTCACTCCCATTTCGTTCTGTTATTGACTCACCCTATTCTGGTGCGATCTCACTTAACTCCACTTGTCTTCTGGCTACTTCAGGCAACGACAATGCACTGCGTATGCTTACTACACCAGCAGAGAATTCTACCACCGAAAGACTTGGTCCAGGGTTTGGGACTATCGATGGACACCGGGTCAATTCAAGATTCGTTCGTGATTCCGTGCTAGATGGTGCTGTCTCTTCTGTTTCAAGCACTTCCTCTACATCTGAGAAGACCTTTCGTGCACCCTCGAATTCTAGCACTAAACGCTCTTCGAGTTCCGCCAAACGAAAGTCTGGAAGCTCTGTCGTATCCGTTGTCTCCGACCAAGCTGCGGTTCAGTCAGGTAGTTCCAGGACAAAAGGCTCCACAGCGACCGTCAAGCAACCGACCCCATCAACTGATGATACCTCTAACTTAAACTCTCATTCAGGCCGCACTTCGAAAGCAGACCGCACACCTACTAAAGAGGGTAAATCTGTTGTATCATCTGATGAGCCACATCCCGAGACAAATAGGAAGTCAGTTACAATCATGCTGGAAGCGCCTCCCTCACAGGAGTTCCACAGTACCAAGGAGATCCAAATACATCAGCCAAACTCGCTACCTGAAAAGGTTTCTACCGGCAAACGATTCGCAAAACCTTCGACAACACCGAAGAAGGCTAGCATTAAAAACTTGGTTGGTCCACCAAAGGAAGTGGGTAAAATTCCTGCTCATCCTGTGCCCGACTCACACGTAGCTAAAGTTACTGATGTTATTCTACAACTACGAGAGTCTAGGCGTCGTCCCGTACAGTCAATGATCCTCGGATTGTGTAGTAGACAGTACAATTTATCTGATCAAGAGGTTTTAGCGGTTTTGAATTATTTGGTTTATCAGGGACAACTTCATGAAATCCACTTCACCAATGGTATATCTTATCGGTCCAACCCACGAATTGTTGCCCGTGGAGATCTCTCGTATCCGACAAACTTGTCCGCCAGAATCAAAGCCAAATATGTTACAGGAATGAAAAAGAAAAAGTCTGTTGTCGGTGCTCAGTCGCATATTAAACGTCTCTCACAGGCTGATTGTGATCCTAATACAGGCACTAAACGGCTGCGCCAAGAAACTACTCAGGTGACCGCCCAACCGGACAGATGTTTTGCACAGAATAATCGTTGTGCCTCTATGGGACATTCGTTGTTTGGCCGTGTTTTGAAACCAACCACCATACCTGATTCAGTTCCGAGTTATCTTCCTGGTTTGCGTACAGATACCCGCGTGACAAATGTAGACACTGCTGAGACCAAGCAAAATCATGTATTACCTGTGAATCGACTTGTTCCACCTTACCAAGAGCCCTATGTCCCACAGAGTAAGTCTGTCTATTCTGGGGTTTATTATTTCTAATTTACTACGTTGCCTCTTGATAAACCGAATACCAGCATTTGGGAAAAAGATGCCCCTGCGAGAGGACCTGAGGGATTTACTTGCAGACTACCGTAGTCTCGTCTTTCCGGATAGAGACTAAGAGATACTGTGTGCTTATGGCTTGGAACGTTAGATACTATGACAAGATGTATAGTTAAGTGGAGGGCATCTATTTCCCCTTCCTACCTTTAGCCAAAGTGAGAACAAAGAAGAATAAAAATCTGTGGATGCGGGAAGCTTACGATAGAATTCATCAGATAATCTTAGCGTGAGGAAATTGTTTTTATGTGTATACACATTTTAATCGCACAAAAAAATGACTACTGCATGGTTTATTTAGTTGCACCTAGCGGTCATCTTAGCTGGTGTGAAAAAAGTTATCTTATGCAAACGAAATTATAGTGAACAACCTTCAAAGGTCGTTCACCACACACATGGAACTACTCGTGACCTGTACTCCTGGGCTATTCAGGACCAGTCCCCGGGATGTTGCAGTTGACATACAGCGTAAACAAAAAGTTGGCACGCACGCCATATCAAGTTTGCTCACTGAAATGGACCGAACACGGCGCGCCTACAACGGTATCTCATACTGTTTGAGTTCATTTTAATGAGATCATGAGACGCGTTTATGATCAGTAGTTTGCATAGCCGGTTGCCACAGTGCCCCAGAGCTACGTAGCTGGTCCTCTTCGATTTTGTACTCAGAAAACTACAACAGTTCAGCTTCCGTAATGTGGGTGGGCGCTCGGACCGTCCTCCTGTTTATCCTGTTATCGGTGAACGAACTAGTGGTAGCTGAAACGAAAGTACTCTGGCTGTAGCTTTTGTATATGAACCGAACAGAGCCAGAATATGTAGTAGGAGGTGACAATTAGGCCTATGCGAGGAGTATTTCTAACAACGATTTAGTTGACCCACTTCCTCGATTCTACCTTTTCCAGTCGAGCCTGTATCTAATCGCCTCAATTCCTGCAGCGTCGCATACTTTCCTGTTCGGGAACGTTACTGAACTCCCCTTGTCTTATCTCAAAGCGGTGGGGTATCTTTATCTCCTACTCTAACCAACTTATTCGGGAACATGAACTTTTTCCAGGGAATTGAGGCCAGTCATCGTATCCTGATTTTAAAAAAGGTGTCCAATGTAATTATTCTAATTACAAAGGCATAAGTCTTACTTCGGCCAGAGAGGGTGCTGTTCTCAATTGCTAATTTTTACCAAACCTCGCAGATTCAGTTCATAGCACGGCAACCCGAGATGGAGGCATCAGTCAAACTCATTGCTACGGTATCTTCGCCTTGATCTCACCCGCGTGATTCCTCTTGCACTTGGTCGGAACATTGTGCAACCGATCCTAGTATGGAGTGTGCTGTCACTTTCGAGCCGGATTTCCAAGCACTGAGCTCCTGTTGGGTAGTGTCTGCAAAGGAGTTAAGCTTAATCTCTGACGATAGTGCCTTTTTCCGGCAGAATGCTTTGATGTGCTAAGTTGTTTACTGTTTGAGTGCACCCAGCTCTTGATTGTCTTTTCCAATAACACAAGGCTATCTTATTTCAATATTCCGCCCTTCTCCTTTTTATTATTTGTCCGTGAGTTATTTCCCAACGGTTATATAGTTAAGCATTATTGTTACAGTGGCGGAACATATCTTTTAATCAGAAGTTCGACAGGATGTATTCCAATTTCGTATCCCTCAAACAAAAGTGATCATTTGGCGTCATGTCCTCGTTAGTTTGTCGCCATACCTTACACGATCTGAAACCTTAGTTTTAATGCACCAGCTTCGATTACAAACTTCCCCCTGGAATTCGTGCTTTTGCCTAAGTCTGATTTGATAACCTCATCCCGTGTTGCGAATCATTCTCGAGGTAGCGATTCCTTCTCACATTGTTTCTGACTCGATCGTGTTCTGAGGAACAACCAATAGCTAAGGATCACCTTACTTCAATCTACTCAGTCATTGCCGTACGCCCCAGTTTTCTAATAATCATTTGGTCCTACTCCTGCCCAGGTATGGGTGCCCTGACAGTATCCCAGTCCACGTGCGAGCATGAACTGCACATGTACGATGCGGCAGCGAGGCATCGGTGTTGAACACTGATGTCATGCCGTCGATGAAAATGATGATTTAGTCGTACTGGATGTTTTATTACCTCCGGTAAACCTAGCTTCCCACAATTTTTCCTCTACCTTTGCTTAGTTTTAAGCTTCATCTATCACCCCGAAATAATTTTACCCTACTTCTGCTCCTAGCATCAGCAATAACGTTTCTTCGTAGCATGCACACTCCACATATTCGTGATCCAGTTCATGTGTCAACTAGGATTGAAGCCCAGCTTAGTCGTGTACTCACGGACTCTCCACATTTGGAATGGGCCAAGGTGTCCATTTCTTTTAGTTTCCTGTGATTCCTTATTTTGTATTTTTCCTGTACTGTGTACTGCCGTGTGCATAATATCGGTGGACGATATCAAAGGCCAGAATCACGTCCGCCATTATGCTCTGCTAATGGCGTCAGCCACAGTAGTGTCTGAAGCGACAAGGAGCACCACACTATTGTACGTCTGTATTTTCCTACCATTAAAATATTACGTCTTTGTGGATATATTCTGTTCTACCCTTTGTTATCCTCCCGCAGCCGTCTATTAGGCGGGTACCAACAAGTTAGCAACGATGTCATGATGGGCGTTCAGTGCTACCGCCAGTGTTTCTCTTCAACAGTGTTTTAAGCTTCATGAGCTTTTGTGCGTGTACAGTCGTTGCGGCCTGACAAGCTTGTTTTTTGCGTGTAATCCAGAATGGCTCAAGCTACGATGCGGCTTATGAAGACTTCTAAAATGGCCTTACGCGCAAGTCTTGTGAATAGATTCCAACTCTGTGGGGTCTCTGTGGCCATACAAACGAATTATACTGGTTTTCGCGTTCTAATTTTCAGTGCACTGGCATCTCAGGCGCTTATGCGTTACTGGCTCTCACTTTTCGAATAAATCATCTTTGTTGGCTGGCTGCGAGGCGCTGCTGCTAAATGCTGTTGTCATCTGTGGTTACACTAATGCGAGCGGGAACCTGCTAAAGATGACTCAGTTCCTGTGTGCACGAATCTGATCATGACGTCCCCTTCGGCGGGTTTCTGTTAACTTCGGATCACTTAGTGGAATCACAGACAACTTATAAATATTCGGCACGTTGACGACTGTCGGATGCGCCCCTCAATAGGTCCAGATAATTGTTTATTGTTTGTGACTACTTGTGTTTGCCGAGTAGTCGGGAAACAAAGTTTACAGAAGCTCTAGGCTGTGTCAATGGCCCAACCGTCGAAGTCGTCAGAGCGTCGCAAACCGCGGTAGAACGAGGCGATCGATGCAAAAAATAGTGTGCTGTCATCTTTCGCACCTGGTTTTCTACAGCAGCACACTTTTCAACCACTCTCAATCGCCCCATCCACTCTAATGTCACCATTTTCATCATCCACACCATGGCATCGCTGTTTCAACACGTTTCGCTGCCGTACAGCCATGATTTATTTGAAAGCCCTATTGTGAAGAAGAGAATAAAGTTGGACGAGCAGGTGATTTAATCCTAGCCTACTACAGTCATTTCGAGATGCCTACACCTGACACTCATTCAGGCAATCTGGATAGAAACTGACAATACCAAGGCCATTGACATCAATTAGCAGCCATACCTTGCAGGGTCTCTAGCCAAGCGCAGTGGGGATCATGCAATCCCCATCCTGGAAGGCGAGTGACACAGACAGCACCCAAAACGTTTCGTACTCTTTCGCTATATTAAGTGTTGGTCACCTCTCTGCTTCTGTCACTTTGAACCGGGCATGGAAAACAGTACTCTCTTCTGTAAACGATGGTTCCGCATGCTCAATATATGGCCTAAACAAAGCAGTTTCTGGAGCTGGACACATTTTTCAATGAAAGTACCCGCTACACAACCGGAAACTCGCTTTCTAATTGCCTTGTTCAGGATTCTTCGACACCGACCCACACGACCTGTGGTCCTGAGACGGCGATTGTCGAGCACTTGAAGACGTCTCAGTTCCACCGTTCGAACGACCCGAGTCTCACAGCCATACAACAAAACAGCCCGCACTGTAGCATGATACATTGAGATCCAGGGATAAACCACTTTGCTGCCATAGGTGTCTCAAATTAGCAAACGCGACCCGGACCTTGCCGGTACGTGCATTGGCCTCATTTTTTCGCACTACAATCAGAATTAGTACAACTTCAGAGGTACGTAAGGCACTCCACAACTTCCAGTGTCTCTCCCCGGATTTTAAGTGGCGCGTTCAGTGACTGCACGTCTACGAGCATGACCTTACACTTTGTGGGTGCAAAGTGCATACCAAAAGACGAAATGACTTTGGTCAGTTCGTCCGAAAGCACCCGCGCCTTCTCCTACTCTTCGAAAACGAGAACGATGTCATCTGCGTACTCCAGATTGACAGTTTTCTTCACAGGCTATTTGAACACCAGACCTTTCATCGATCATGAAGTTAGGACATTGCTTTGTGTACGAAAGCTTTTGGATAGCTCTCCGTACACGCTCACATGTCCGGAAATCTGAGAATGTAAACTTTGTGGTCATTTCACGGTGAGCCAACGTGTTAAGGAGAACAGACTGGTCAATCAAGTCGAATGCGCCTTGGAAATCTAGCAGTTTTAGAATGGTGGATCGCTTATACGGATGGCTTTGTTCTAGCACCTGATGTTATGTAAACATTTGGTCAATGCAACCCCTTCCAGGCCGGATTTCCATTTGCTTTACTCCTGTCAGTGTCTCACGAACCACCGTAAGGCGACGAAGAACCACCGACGCCAACAGTCTCATTATGACCGAGTAAAGCTGATCCCCCTGTGATTGCCACGCTCACTACGATCCCCTTTTTTGAAAATGGTTACTATCACCGACTCCTTTTCCCAAATACAAGCAAACCGAGCAGACAAGCGAGGACAGAGCACTTCACTCTATTTTTGAACAACGCAGTGGGTTGTCATCCGGACCAGAAGTTTGGTTTGCTTTAGAGAACGTATGCAGTCGTAAAGCTTCGAGGCCATAGGCTGTTCCACGTTCACCGTCCAGGGTTCTACATCACCTGCGGGTTCCAAATGAGTGACAGCTGATGACCACGACAGTTGTCGTTCGAAGTATTTGACTCACCGGTCGAGGCGTTCTTCGTTCTTCAAGATGCTCCCTCCTTTCCGATCCTTGGTGGTTTCCGGGGGCCAGTTGCACGGGTCAACTGAAATGACCGGGCATTACCGGCTTTTCAGGGCCTCTCCCATCTCCTTGGACTCATGTGTTCACCACACTTCACGGTCGGTTCGCACGCTCACCTTCACTTGACGTCTGATAGTTCGTCTCATCAAGTTATGTTCGGGATCGGCTGGGGGTATTTCTCCTAGATTTAAGCAATGCCACTCTTTCGGTATGATGTCCAGTGCTTGAGAGTGCCCGGTGGTGCCGTGCCACAGATAAAACTCCCAACACTGTACAAATAGGCGGCACTCTCGTCCCAGTATGAGTTCACATCTGATAGTGGAGGATTTGGAAGACTCTAGGAGACTATTCTGGTAAGTTGACCGAACATCCGGATCTGCCAGTCTCTCAGTTGCTAAGCTAATCGATCAACTTCCCGCTTGTGAGACTCCTTCATAGACGTTCCCAGACGAACCGCACGGAGGCGACTATCAAAAGGTATTCAGTCAAACAAGGATACTTCCACCAGGTGACTTATGACGATACCACCTCTTGCATATCCTGCCGCAGCAGCCTCTGGATCAGCAGAGGGGCGTAGCCGGAAGCAAGTGGAGACTGACGGGCGGTTAGCCCAACCACTGTTCTTCCATCTTGATTTCTTGTTTCTGACACACAGTACACATCAATGCCGAGTGAGTCCAGTGTGAGAGCAAGAACAGCTTGTTGTGCTTCTTGCCTCAGAGTGCGGACATCGAAGGCGGCCAGATAGACTGGGTGTCGAGGCTTGAAGATTGATTTGGAGATACCTGAGGATGTCGGCGCCATGTGACGAGCATGCGCTGCACGCAAAACCGATTCAGAACGAACGGAGTCATCAGTCCTAAGTGCTGGGCCTACAAGAGGAAGGTTATTAATGGGATGGGGAGAGGGGAAAGAAAAAGTATGTGAAAGAGAAAGGAGGCGTCAGCAGTAGCCTGTTTTCGCTTACCCGCCCTGCTGTATGCAGCAAGTAAGGCGACCCGGCTGATGTTGCATGAATTCATTTGTTTATATGCAGTTCATGATTTTATGTGGAGTAGGGTGCCAAGACCTAAACAGGGGAATGATTAGGATCCTCGATCAAAGCTTTCTCAAAAGCCTAACCGCAAGCTGACGGTTTTTGCGGAAAATGCGAGTACATAAACGTTTTTACGGAACATGTTCGAACCACCAACATGGAGGACCGGAAGACTATTCGTCAGACCTCTTACCACTGACAAAACTGATATAAGAGACTGCGAATGTCGCACGGACACCCCGCAGTATAGCTCAATGAGTTGATGAGTTGCGCAAACCGTCACACCATGGTAAGGTCGAATCTCTTCGTGGCGGCAGTTCTACTTTTGAGACTGTTGAGTGTTAGACAGTGCCTCTCGAGAGAATCTTGTGTGGCAGCCGACTTGGGCTGTTTTGTCCGATTTAGCTGAAAACGCTTTCCTATGGAGTTTCCATGAAGTAATCGGTGAGGTAGGGTTGGGAATTTTACCATACTTCTGCAAACGCTTTGTTCCTAGGGCCTTTCGGAGCCCCTTTTGTTTGGTAATTGCCACTTTATCATCAGCACGCAATCGCATGAAAAATTGTGAGGCAGCTGTGATTTTTCCAGTGTTGTTTTGATATAGAGGAGGTATTGTGCACTTCCGTTCAGTAGTTTCCTTAAGTAAGCTTCGAAACGAATGGTCGAGGAACTATTCGAGTTATTTTTAGAGGCAGTTTGGCGAGTAAGTCTCTTGCGGGAATACTAATGCCAACTTGTCCCTAGATAAACTAAAAGTTCTGTGCAAGAGTGAAGGGCCGGTGTCAGCTGCATGTCTTGCCCGATGACGATCTTGGTCCCGTTGAGCACACAGTGGCAACTAATTGGCTGTTTGCTTTTGTTACTTATCTCTCTATCCAGGTTACTACCAATTAAGACAGCTTTTGTCAAGTGTAGAGTATGTAAACTACCGCTGTACACCCCACACCACTTTGTTTATCAGAGACATCACCACTGCACTCATCTTGCGTAGGCCTTTCGCTATTTTACCATATTTGTCTCTGGAGTACTACTATGGTACAGCAGGGTTGTCGGCTTAGCAACTGAACACATATTAGCCGGACCTTAATAACAGTAACAGTAACTTGTCAACGTTTGATTGATTAGTGCCGCTTTGGTGCTTACCCTTATGAAGCAACGCAGTTCTCCTGTCCAAGACCCACAGATTTTACAATTTTTTTCAAATATGTGTGATCTGAATGCGACCTAAAGGCGTTTCTATGACTTAGCAGCGAGGTATTGATTCCCTGGTGGATACCATATTTCTGTGTAAGACTTGTGGTAGGTTCTTTTAAGATCATCATTGTTTTTGAAGATAAACTGATGAGGAAGTCCAGATAGCCACTACTCTTTCTTCGGATTGCTTAGGGCACCGTAAATGTGTAAAGGTGTCGATAACCTATGTACTCTACCCACTGGTGCGCAATCCAGATTGGGATTTTTGTCATACAAAGGAAACATCGAAACTTGCTCGAAATACCTTAGAGGACAACAAAGTCGACGAACGGATTAAGCATCAGATGAAGAGCTTATCGCAAATTATTTTCAGGTTAGTATAACCCGATTCACACTCCTGTGCTTCCGGAGGTTTTGACGTGCTAATTTGCTCTTCATTCATAACAATATTATTTGTACAGTTGGACAATTGAAAAACCGGCTATTGCCCTGTGTAACAACGGTTTGACATTGAATTGGATCAGTCGACTGCCATTCGCGTTTGGATATCGTGATTCACTCAAATGCTAAGTACCTGCGTCACTAGCCTCGTCCACTGGGTCGTGGTGGAAAACGTTCTGTGTATTTTTACCTTATCTGTATTTGCTCTTCTATTGCCCAATTGAGAACACGCTTTAGCTCAATTGTATCGTCAATTTTTCATTATAAGGCATACTTGTAGCCAGTCCTCATGTTCAAACTCCACAGTCATGTTAACTTGTCTCTTGTTTTGAGCTTTATGCATCTCACTGGCCGGTCCATTCTCCGATATAGTACAATGAGTTTTCAATCGTTCTTATCTGGTTATTGTCCAATGTGACGCCTCGTACTTGAGATGGAATTATTCAATGGCAGACTCCACGCTCAAGTGCATTTCGGTGATTTTGTTTTGGGTGACCGGTTCGCCATTTTCTGTGCCGGATGCTCAAGGTAAATGTGTTTTCAAGGCCTACCCGGTCGCTCGATACCATCCGTCATCTTCTCTACACCTTAGGTGATGCTAGGTGAAACAGTATTCGCAAAGAATAAACGTTGATATTCGGTCCCACCATAGGGCCACTAATCTGTCGTCCCATCAGTTTATACTCGGGCTGGACTCTTACTACGAATCAAAGAATATTAGATACTCGAATTGTACAGTGCTGTGATATAAGTTTGTATTAAGTGATAGATGTTTTTCGCCCTCTCAACCAGTTACTTTTATGAGACAGTCAAACAATTGCAATCAAGTGGATGTCAACGAGAGGATGAAGCGAATCTCGTTTATGATATTCTTCCGACGTACAAACACCGCCTCGTTTTTGTTGATGATATCTGCGTAGTTTCCTACTTTTAAGGCTGACAATCTCTAGAGGGGGTTTTCAGCAACATCATATGTGGTCTTTTGTGAATGCATCAAAGGTAGTTCTCGATCAGTACAGGAGCGTTCTTGAGCGGAAACCTGGCGACAGTGATGAGGGTCTTTTTCAAAGCCCATCGCCGGCCAAACCTTTGAGCCTCACTGTATTAAGTATTATAAACGGTCCATTCGTCTTTATATTACGCAGTGTTATTTCAATATTTCTGCGTCCTTTTCACATGTCTCCATCATCAAAATAGTAGTGTACTTTTAGAAAATAATAGAACTTGTGGTGCCTAGTTTCTCGCTCTTCGATGAGTACTACTCTGCAACTATCCTCATTTTATTTTGATAGCCCCACACACCGACCGACGAAACTTGTTGATTCCTCCCTCCAGTCCCATCAGAGAATCGCATTTCGAGAGCCAATTCAATAGTCTGCCCCATCGGCGTAATGGTCAGGTGGGTGGGTGATAATCGTCCAAATTTGTTAATCTTGCCATTTTTTGTCACTGAGATATGAAGCAACCCACAGTTTTACGCATTTAATTCCGTTTCTCGCGTAGTATTATTTCAGTCAGGCTACAAAAATAATCTCTCTTAGGTACTTTGTATTTGTGTTGCTATTCCCATGTTGGTCACGGAAAGCTCAGCACCCCATAAAACATGTCAGTAGAGATAACTGCGATTTCCTTCGTTTTGGGTGTGGATATCATGCTGTCCACGTGGATCACTGGAGCGGAATTTATTTAGTTGTTCAACTGTTCATGTGCACAGTACGATCAACACACGCTGATCTGTTCAAGTAATTTTGCGCCGCGGACTATTTGCTAATGGGTGTCAACGGTGGTATTCCGACAGGGTTTGGACACGTCAACTAGTAAAGTGGTCATTCTCGAAATATAGACCGTCCGATTTTTTTCTTCATGCGATCGGCCCACTCAGTAGCCCTCGGGGTTGGCTGCCGACTTGCTTCGTACCAGTACTATATCTTATGACGGAAAGCGGAGGGCCAACAAAAGAAATATTTGGAGAGGCTCAATGGAAATCTTGTGTGTATCTAGTTGGCTTTTGAATAAGACTATTTGATTTGGGATTATCTAGCTAGCTATTCCTTGCTAGCTATTCCTTGTTTCTTTAGAAAAGTTTCTCTTTTGAGCATTACTGGAGTTATCTCTCTCGAAAGGGTTAATCGTTACAGTTGTTTCTTTTGAAGCGTCGTCCCCGAATATGATTGCCTTGTCACAATTATTTCCAGTAGTGTTGGTTGGTGAGTCTATGTGATCACTGTATTTTTAGCCACCACTGCCCAACGAACACCATCCCGTCCCTGCCTCGGGGGACTTTGACACATCCGGTGCCACCCCTAGTTATATCAAGGTCTCCGCGAACGGCAGTGATTCCATGAATCCGAGCAATTCAACACCCAATTTGCTCACAGTTTCCAGACGTAGCAGCGTTCGACAAACGGAGGCTGTCTATAAGTTCAAGTCCATTTTGGTCAAGAAAAACATCACCGGATGCTTCACAGAAGTTTGGCTGCAGTCACCAGGATCTCATTTAAAGAATGCATTCACCATTCAGGCAAGCGAGATTACATCTCATATACCGTTTATTTTCACCGTGAATCTGCAGATATGATTTACCGGTTTTATCGTTTATCGGTCTAGGTACTGGAAGAATTGACGACAGTTCTCAATCAAGCCGTCTACGATACCAGTAGGCTGATCATGATATCAGGAATGGGCACAGTATTTGGTGCTGGATTGGATTTGACTATACTTACCGGACCGCTGCCACACAGATCTGGTTCTAACAGTACCTCCAAGTTCCCCTGTCCCTCCTCCGCTACGTCTTCTGGAAGTGGAATTTCAACAAACGGTTCTTCTTATCATGATCCTACTCGGTTCCACCCGTCAGATCGAGAGAACGGCGATCAAAGGGTGATTGGCGATTCAAACGGATCGATGTATTGTTGCTGTTGTTCAAACGATTCTCAGCAGGCTATTCCACTGCTCGGTCAGAAATCTGCACAATGCCAGACGTCCATGCATTCTCACCATTCCTGTCTAGCCCCACCAGATCCGTTGGTTAGCCAACAGTTAGGGGCTGCTCTACGTGCTTTTCTCCTAACTTTGGCTAGTTTCCCAAAGCCCGTTGTAGTCGGTGTAAATGGTCCTGCAATGGGATTAGCCGTAGCAATGTTACCTTTATGCGATCTGGTGTATGTAAGCGATTCAGCCACATTCCAGCTGCCGTACACTCGTCTAGGTCAGACTCCAGAAGGTGGGTCTAGCTTCACGCTTGGTGCACTGATTGGACTTCCGCTGGTAGGTTTTGATTCCAGTCACCGATCATCTGTCGCTTGTCATTTGTGTCACTTTACATCTATCAACTGTCGATGCATACTTAGTTTACGATTAGGTTTAAGGTTGAATGGACCGAGATCCTCATCCCTTAGCCTGGTGATGGTTTTTTTCTATTGCATAGCTGTTTACTTCGAATTTCCGGGAACCTTTCTTCAGCTGTTTTTTCCACACTGTACGAAGGCACTGTGCAGGAAGAGTTTTTGGCTGTCCTCAATCGGAAGTCACGTTTGAACTCAGCAGGTTGGTTAGCAGTAGTGACCACACATTATCAAGGCCTTCAACGTGAATTCACTTCCTGCTAGAAATTCCTCAATGACATGGGCCCATCTATACTCGTCTGAAAAAACCGCATCAGTGGTTTCGCATACAATCTGACCAGGTGAAAAATCCGTGTGGACAGAAGCGAAACTTATGGACAGGAATTGAAGACCATGGCACAAATGACCACATGATAGTGAACTGAAATGTCCCTCCTCCTTGACAGTAATGTTTGGATTCCGGGTGCTCTGTTTTTCGCATCCTGTATTCAGGAACGGTGTGGGATGTTGTCTGATTCATACCTAGCCACTGTTTTCATCCTCTTTTTTGCAAATAGGCCAACGAACTGCTGCTTGCTGGCCGAAAATTATCCGCCAGAGAAGCGGTGCAACGTGGCTTCGTATCGGATCTTCTCTACCCAAAGAGTTTCAAGCAAGAACTGGTGATGCGATGTCAAAAACTTGCAGCTACCTCTTCAATGGTAACTGATCATTTTTCTTCCTCATTTCTGCACCGTTATCCTGTTTTCGTGATCCTAAGGCTTGGTGACTTCTTTACCGTACGCATCTCACCCCATTGGAACTTCATTATACTGCATAGCCGGTTTACACGAAAAATAAGACCCATTCCTAGCCACTGCAGAGAAAAAAAAGCGTTTGTAGAACGTCAGAATGTCACCAATAGTTTGATTGACTGGACTTCGCGACGCCGTGGCACTTATGCTAATCTTGTGTTCGATAGTAATTTCAAAAAGTGGACTGATTCGTATAACATTTTTGCTTCCATCCACAACTTCTGGTATCATACCAAGTAGTACACATGTTAGTCAGTCCATGAAAGTCCAACGGGTCTTGGTTGGACTTATAAATTTGGTTATGGTGCGACCCATGGACTAACCGGAGCCCTCTGCTTATTGAATCCGTGAGGATTTCCAGTTTCGCACGCCGCTTAACAAATATGTTACTTACGTTGGCTGAGCGCCCTGAATTGTCATACTTTTTACTTTCTGGTCTAAATCATCGGAAGTTTTAGTGCAAAAAATTGGAACATGGATATTGTCCGTCTGTGTGTCGGCTGAGTTTCGTATGCCCGAATTAGTGTATTGTAGCTCAGGTACTCCTAAATAGCTCTCGTTGAAAAACATGCGTAACAAAACTTGTCTGACACGTTCCTCGAATGTAGAAATCCTTAATGTGGATCGATTCGGTCAAAGTTATTTTACTGGTTACCATTCAGTGAACGTGCAACCGTCCCACAGTCCGTTTTTCCTGCTGTCTTACTTTGTCAACTCCCTGTAGGCATTGGAAATGACCAAATGTATCGTCCGAACTCAACACCGGGATCGTATTGAAATTGTGATTAACACCGAATGTCGTAAACTAGTCGAGTGTTGGCAGACCGCGGCATTCAGGCGCGCAGCCATAGATTTCCTACTTACCGATATGGGAGACTTTCTGTGATGATCAAGTGCAGCTGTTATTTCCACCGCATGTGTTGAGAAAGTGGATGGGACTCATTGTTTCACCGAATCATCGTGGTACGACCTCCCCTCCACCGTTCCCTCGTCATATTTAGTCTCAGACGCCATTGTTTCATAGGAGGTTTCTTTCCGCACCAACACACGTACCAAAAACTTTCCAAAAAACAGTTGTCTGTATTGTCTACATTTACTCATGTAGCTCATTTTACCCGTCTCCACATACTGTTTCACCATCATTTTCTCAGTCTTTCGGGAAGTTACCGCATATGGTTTTACTTGATCTATGTGATCACTTTACCTCTTCTGATTACAACCCACGTAAGCTGCTTTGGACCGTTCGCTGCACCCGGTAACGTTCGTTGCATGTGCATATCTACACACCAACTACACTTTCTCCCCACTCACTCACTGTCCATCCCCTTACAACACTCTAACAACGTCAGCTCTGGAAGGAAGTTGTAGAATTCTTACTATCATCTTCCGTGTGTGTTTCTCATCTCGCTGGTCTCAAGCTTACTGGTCCAATCTGGCCTGTTTCTCAGCCTCTTTTGTTCAGCCCTAGGGTTTGCTGCTTTTTTGTATTGAATTATCTCAACACTTGTGAATATTGTGAATTGGTCGAGTTTCGAAGATAGTTGTCAAGGCCTGTGTTCTTGCTTTGTTGTGCTTCTGGATCACAATCAGTTAGCTATCAAGTCACCTACGTGCCGTCTCGTTATCGGTGGACAGGAAAGCATTTTCCTTATTTTTAGAGCAACAGAATATCGGGGATGCCATCACTTTCGCGATGTTCGCAGAGAACCGTAACCGAATCGTCAATATGTCCGTCTGCCATTTTATCCATCCGTCTGAGGAGAAATGGTTCTGCAAAACCCTGACTGCTGTGATCAGCTTTTACGCGCGTTTTTACGCTTTTTTAGTTGTGTAACTCTCTAGCCGCCGTTTTCCTTCTGAATCATAGGATCAGCATCACAGGACGGGAGCTGTTTACGCTCCTCCACTATATTGCAGTTCCATTTGCTCGTCCATGAAGAATTGTTTGAAGATTACTAGGGTTTAGCTTCGGGTATTGTCCCCAACGCCTTGTGCCGTTCGCTCGCGTTTGTCCAAGTTCCAGGTTAAACCTACGAGATACGAAGGGCGTTTGGAAAGGTGCTGAGTTGAGTCGCTCTCAGGGCTCGCTGTTATAAAGGATTTCTTTTGACTCCAAATCCGCCGAATCTGCAGTCGTATGTCTGCTGTTCAGCACCATTGGGAGCCTGGTTTCTCAATTAGCTCTTCTCCGGTCTGGCGAGGCGTTTTCCTGGCTGTGGCCGCTTTTTCGGGTGCGCTGACTCATTTACACTGTGACCTAATTCTGTACAGGCTCTTCAAATTTCCCGAATAAACCTAAGGCAAGCTCTATGTCGCGCTTTGGAACGGCATTGTGAGCAAGTCAGACAGACATATCAAAGTGCACTGAAAACTGGAGGCGTATAATCCCGGTAAATTTGTGATGTCACCTGGTGTTTCTGAGCTAGGCCCCACTAATCAATCGTCCTCTGGGTATCAGGATGCGTCCAGACATGAAAAGTACATGCGCAGAGAGTGACGCGTCCCCAAGGCCACAAGCACCTCTCCAGACATCAGGTGCGGCGGTTGAGCTTACCAAGCACGGCTTGGCAGCATGCGACCAACGGAGTGATGAAGTTGATTGCGACAGGAACGTCGCCATTGGCTGGACAAGACGAACAAGCGAACGGACACAATTGGTCATTTGGCCATTCCACGTATTTACGCAGAAACTCCGTGTGTTTGTGCTGACAGTACAGCCGTGTCCCGGTTACTACCTTTTCCTTACCGGGTAGTCTGGCCGGCCCAGTTCTGGCGTACCCAATAGACGGCCACCCACGATACAGCACCAAGTGATCATCATCCGTTGGTGTGGCATGGAACATGCGACAGTCAGACGGTCCTTTGAACATCACCTGGGACGCTAACAACGAAACTTAGGGGAATCAGTAGTCCTATGCGGTGGATCAGGCCGTCGCTGCTCAGAATACACCACTGTTTCACAGTAGTACCGAGGAGGTGGATCAATAATGCAGTGAGATATTCGAAAACTTATGAATAAGGGGTTATACGTCAATTGACGCGCACATTACCTTTGTTGCAATTCGACATGAACTCTCACTGTTATCTATGCTGTTATCTATCTATTACACAAGCCCTCAATGTCATGCGGTCATCTGGAGCCCCACATTTCACTTCCACGACTACACAATGTGAGCCTTAATCATCAGGGGATTTTATCCAAAACCAAGCAGCTAGGTCGGTCGTCAGGGCATTGGAAACGCTACTGAACTTTCGGGGCAGAGTGAATTACGAGCATTGGGTAGAGAGATGGAGAGGTAGAGATAAAAAAACAGACTGAAATACCCGCAGATACTCTAGTCAGACTGCTCTGCTGGAAATCAAGTTGTGTAGTGCAACAGTCTCGAACGGTATTCAAATTTCGGGAACTTGATTATGTTAACCCGCGGACGTGATTTTTATTACTGAAACCTAGCAAAGTTAACTTCGAGATATTGAACCATAACGGAAGGTGGTCTGGACCACCCTCACGAAACACTCATTCTTCCAGTTTTCCGGGTACGAATGGCTGTTTAACTACCATAATGCGACTATATCGCACTACACATCAATACTATACTAAGGTTCGGTTACTCAGCATACAATTCGACTGGACACGTTTTTTCTGCCATGAATGTTATCAAAATACAGATTACCTCTGAGAGTGTGGTCCCTTCCAAAGGCATTTGACCACTGATCCGATGTGGTTTCTGGTAAGGGGGCATCAGTTTCGAAGCTTTTCTTCCTACGAGGGGACAGTTGTGACATAAAGATGTGTATTAAGAAACACCGGAAACAATCTTTTCGGAACCCTGGAATTGAATCGAATTTTAGCACATCCAGAGCAGTGTGCATCTGCTGAACGGGTGTGCCCACCGCATACTCATTCAGTAGTGTGACGTATTTGGCGATGTCAGACATAGTAGCCCCCTGAAATCTCAGGTGCAAGCGCGTGTATTTTGGTATATTGTTCCTCAATGGCAATTTTACAGGCTTTCAGGACCTGCTCAGAGGACAGTGCTTTCAGTCATCGCTACAGATTGCGGTAGTTTAATTGTGATGTGAAGATAACACAACGTTTTATGGTTCACGATCAACTCAGGAACAGACTTAGCTGTAATTTGACTGGTTAGATCGGTACCGAAATATAAGAAAACGCGGTGCAAGAGTTATTTATCCCTGTTTCCGTTTAAAGAGGAATCTGCCAGAACTTTTCGGGTGATCTTATTCGTTACCATGATGAGTAGTAGCAGTTGATACTAGTGTTGTTTTGACAGCAGTTGCAATGCGGACATCCGACCAATATTTTTTCTATGCTGCTTCTGAGAAACCTGTTATTTTGACTTTATGTCGCTCCGATCCTGCAGCACAGAGTTTCGTTAGCACTAAAGCGATATTGTATGCTGCATTTTAAACACGCACATTCTCTGGCTCGGCGCGAAAACTTCATAAAACTATGACTTATTCGATGTCACCCGGGCCTAACATAGGAATATGCGCACTGTGTTCAACTTTCTCCTACAGTCCAAACACAAGACTTGATAAATTCGTTCAGATAGTTCTCCTCTATTTGGAGATTTTAAAGTCACGGTATAACGTGGTTGGATAAGATGTTCAAATCCGATGTTCCTGTCATCGGATTTGCGAACTACTACAATTCCCACACCTCATCCTCAGTTGTCGAAATTGCGAACTTGCCGTACAATGGTTATAGCTGCCCCATTTTCGCTCGACGCTGATTTGGGGAGGTGGGGTAGATAGCTAAGCAGCGGAGGTGGCAGCTGATATAATTCATGAGTAAATACAGAGGGTTAGTCAGTCGCGTACAACATCAACTGAAGGTGAGTACTATTGGCCGTTCGAAGCCAAATTATTGCGGTTGAAACGAATGAGCCGCAGAGAACAATGGCGTAAGAAAAAGCACCTGTTGAATGCAGTTTCGGTCCGACAACATACGGAAAGCCAGGTGTCCACATGGAACAAGTGAAATTGATATCCAACATGAGGTACGCCGCTGTTGATTCCCCCTGTGAATCAACGGTAAACAGCGGTAACGAATAAAGTGACTTACGCCCGTTTATTATAACGCCGTTTTGTTTCGTTGCTATTCGTTTTTCCCCTTTTTCGCTCCAACTTAAGGTCTACTTATTCTTCGGTAACTGATGTCACTATTTGTTGCTCGTCCGTCATTGACTACAAGATCATCTCTGTTGTACCTTTTTCTGAGCGTCCACTCTGACGGAAAAACGAACCGACTGGGTACCGAACCCAGAACTTCCCGAACGGTGGGCGAAAGCGCTGTCCACTGCACCAAAGTGACACCTAGAAGGGTCTGTTTTTTTTTTGTCTTTTATATACCGCACCTGCCAGATAGCCTTTGGTGAGACCAAACCGCGCAGTCTGATTTGTTATGTGACACGAGCCTCCGCCTCGCGCCTCTATCTCCATACGGCCAACTCATGCTGACAGACTGTCCGTTTATGTACGTTTGTACATACTTTGGGGCTTACTTGCTGTTGTTTCTGGAAGTCCCCGCTGCTACACTGACTATTTTCTGCTCCTGCCGATTGCGCCATTATTGACTGTACTTTTGCTTAATTCACAATGCTTACTAACCTGTTGTCTATAGAACCAGTTCCTGTCAGTTCTCAATATACCATCTGCTGCCCCACGTCTGTCTGCTCCTATTGACTACTGGCTACGAACTGCGTATAATCTAATAGTCGCAATCGTCCTGTGAGATCCTTAACCGTCCGGATCTTACAAAGTTAATCAACAATTACCGCAGTTAATTAACAGTATCGCAGTTAATCAACAGTCGCTGAGTTAATCAACATTGCACAGTTAATCAACAATGCAAACTCAACCGACGTTTCGCCATGTCTGACGAACATTCCGCCGACCTTCCTCCACTCGATTACTTCCCCCCGTCGCCCAAGCGAGAGCTCCCTATAGATCTGAGAGACAGAGCTGCATGGCTGGAAATTGAGATGGCCAAAGTCCGTCGCGAAATGGATAACCTTCAGTGTTCTGCTACCGCTACAGACAGAAGACCCCAAGACTCTGTTAGACCTCCATCTTATCCAGTTGACCAGGATGGGGCCATCACCCCCAACTACCATATGACGCCTCCAAAGAATTCACAGACGACGTCCATATCGTATCAACATCTTCCGGAACTGCTCAACCTCTGTATGGGTATGCCTCAGAGAAGGGTACCAAAGTTCGACGGTAACCCTCTGAATTACTGGAAGTTTCTGAGGGGTTTCACCAGTGGAGTCGCCCAATACGTTACGGATCCCGCAAATCGCCTAGCCTTCTTGATCGATGCATATGAAGGTGAAGCACGAGAAGCAATCGATCACTGCACAATACTTGAGTCTGTCTGCTCATATTGTCTACTGGCTACGAACTACATCTAATCTGTTAACACAATCGTCCTGTGAGATCCTTAGCCGCCGGATCTTACGGTCGCAATTGGTGACATGTCTGAATTTTCCACCAACATTAAACACAGCTGAAATGCAGAATA